GTCAGGACACCTACTCTGTTGGCAAAAATACTGTATGCATAAGGGTGGTTGCACATATTTTACATGCTATAAAATGCTGCAAAACTAACGTGATGCAAAAGTGATACAAAAAAAACAGAGAGATATATTTGTACTTTTGAATATACAACACAATATCATGATCATTCTTAACTATTTTACATTTTGTCGAATTGGTGGCTAATTCATATGAATTTGTACAATCTCATTTGTATGTTTCATACAGTCTGCTTGTGCCTGAGTGATGTTAATGTTTAGGTGTGCGATTCATGCTTACTTTTTTCAAAACATTGTACGCTTTCATGCTATTCACATAGTAGAAAATCATACAAAATCGCTTCGTAAAATAGTTATGTTTTCCTGTCAAATTGGGTTGGAAAATCCAATTCATTCTTGATTCCAAATTACCTGTATTATATAGCAAATCTCAACTGCTTGAGTGTTGTATAATCAAAATTTACACTATAATCGCTCAGCATATATTAAAAGTTAGATATAAACTCAACTGCCTGATTTTTTATTTTGTTGCAAAATGTAACAATATTATCACCCAGCTCTTTATATAAAGTTGTATACATAAGTATGCACTTTATCTGCATACACACAGTATATTCACATGGGTGATATACTGTAAACTATATAGCATATCTCAACTGCTTGATTTGTCGCAAAATGTAAACTATATTGTTGCCCATCTCAATCTGCTAAATGCGACTATAAGGCATGAAGATTTTAAGATATTTTAAACATTAACATAATGCTTTTCTGTAAAGCTGCTTTAAAACTATGTGTATTGTTAAAAGCGCTGTATTAATAAAAATCGACTTGACAGCCTCAAAATGCATCTTAAATATTCATATTCATCAAAATGTTCCATCTGAGCTAGTTGTGATTGTATCGCCACTTTAAATATGCAAAGTGGTGAGGATTCAGCAATATCACTGATAGTGCTACACTGTCATTTTTAGCAGATGGATTCTTACTAAAGCGAGCAACAGTAAGTGCAGGCTATTTTACATGGTACACTGATAGTGGTACAATATTTTTGTCACCTCTTTCCCGTTAAAAATTAACTGGGAACTCACAATGACCATGTAGAATGGCTTTTAGAGAGATTTTGTAAAGCTTGGCACTGCACAGCCTCTTAATTAAGTGTCAGTGCAGCTTGCCGTCCTAAACACAGCCACACCAAGAGCAGCACCCCTTCATTAACTCTAAACATGTGGTTTACCAGCACTGCCACTGTCATCACTCCTCAATTCCTGAAAAAATAAATAAATAAATTACTAGGCACATTATTTCGTACTGTCAAATGTTTGTGATATTCAGTTGACTGGGCTTAGAGAGGCTGCAGCCCAGTTGATCCCTGGATCCCTGGGGTGGTGTAAGGGTGATTCCCAGATGGAGAACGCTCTTACTCGGAGACCACCAATGGTAATAACCCAGTGACTGAGAAGGATCAGGACTGCATTAGGACCAATCATTAATCAGGTCCCGCTGTGTCTGTCACAACATCATTCTGTCTATCTAGAAAACAAAGCGTTTGCTGATCTTCAAAATCTAAATTAGCAAATTATACCATTTAAAAAACAGGAGTATTTTTTCTGGCAACAAAACAACCAGGATCCTAATTATGATGACAAACAATCAAACTTGATGAAAAATATACACAATTCAGCTATTAAATTAATTAATGACTGATGGATTAAAACAGCAGTATTTATTTATATTATACAAAAATAAATAAATGAATGAATTAAAAAAATAAAAAAAATAAAAAAAATAAAAAAAAAAATATATATATATATACAGCTGCATTTATCTATATTGTCTTTTAATACAAAATAAAATGTAAAAAATAAATAAACAATAAATACATACAGAAAATAAATATATAGTGACTTTTGTGATAACTGTTGAATGATGACTAACAGCAAATCTTTTTTGAACCACTTAATAGAAATTAGTCATCTGAAACCAAATCACTAAAAAAGGGGTTGAATTCAAAATAACATGCTACCGTACTAATCTTACTATTTCTGCCATATTTTTAATAGCCAGAAATAGTAAGGGTATACTAGCAAGCTATTGCCAAACTTTCTGAATTAATCAAATGGATTATAGAAAAGAAAATGAATCAAACCCAACACTACTTGATAGCTAGGTACTTACACTAATAATAAAGTAAATTGTTAGCTAAAGTAATGGTTTCTGACATAGTGTAGATAACAACATTTTCAAAAAGGTAGCTGAACTGTAGTTTAACATTAAAGTTTGAGTAGATTGCATCTTGGCTAGCAAGAATTTTAAAAGTAGCAGTGTAAACTGTAAATATATGTTTTCTGAGACTGCAACAAACTTTTGAGACACAAATATTCATGACAAAAACTGATGCGAACAGTAAATCGATTTTGCTTGAATATTATTACATTATCTCAAATAAAAACACTTTTTGTGTAGCCTGACTTGCCTTAATCTGTTTCCATGCTGGCACACAGAGCAGAAGTCTGACTCACACTTGTTTTTTCTCTCTCTAAACTCCACATATCTCTCTGAACTCTCTGAAGTTGTTTTCAATGTCCTCCTGTGGATGACTAACACCCCACAGGAAGGAAAATCACGATGTGAAATATCTTTAACATCTCAGTTGTTTCTTCTAGACGGCAAAAATAAGAAAAATATGAAAAATATGAATGAGACAGTTGAGACGACAAAGTTTTTTGAATCCTGCTTCCTAGTGCCTCACCTTTGTCTTTCTTACAAAACCTTCGTCTTTCGAAACTTTATTGGCCCAAAGACTGGACAACTGGATTCCAAACCAGAAAATTGATGTATTGCTTCTTTGAACAATCTTGGAATTAATTTATATTTTTATTTTAGAAGAAACATCTGAGAGTTAATACTTAATATGTACACGACTGTTCTAAAGTTTTTATTTATTTTTTCAACTCTCTTCTATTCACCAAAGCTGCATTTATTTGATCAAAATACAGTGAAAACAGAAATATTTTGAAATATTACAATTTAAAATAACTGTTTTCTGGTTAGCTATATATATATATATATATATGATATCAAAGCTGAATTTTCAGCATCATTACACCAGTCTTCAGTGTCACATGATCCTTCAGAAATCATTCTAATAATGCTGATTTGGTGGAAATATTTATTCTTATTATCAAACGGTTGTGCTGCTTAATATTTTTGTGGAAACTGTGATAGTTTTTTTCAGGATTCTTTGAATAGAACATTTAAAAGAACAGCATTTGTTTGAACAGAAAGGCTGTACTCTCACTTTTCATCAATTTAATGCATTCTTGCAGAACAAAAATATTAATTTCTTCAATAAAAATCTTACTGGCCCCAAACTTTTGAACGCTACTGTAATTGAGAGCTTTATTAGCTGGTCTGGGCTTCAAAAGAGCAACCTCCAAGCATAAAAAGGTCCTCTGGGATGTTAACAGAAAGTTTCACTGACTCTAATCATGTTTTGTAACTGAAATGAAAGCCCAGCTGTCATAAGTCTGCACATACTTACAGAAAGCTCTCGATCGGAACACTAAAAGAGACGTGTGTGCGCAGGGGAGGGGGAATGACGGAGCGCTGAAAAGATGTCTGAGCCATTAACATTCATCCTCTAATAAGATTGCAGTGGTGAATAAATCAGTGTGTTCAGATGAGCCTCATATAAACAAAGCCAACATGGGACACAGTTGCCCAGAGCTCTACTGACCCACTTTGGCTAGGCTTGTTTTGGGGAGACAGTAAGGGTAACCGGTCCCAAACGGGGGCGGGGTTACTGGTAGGGCAAGGCGTCTGAGCATGAGGAGGAACTCCGAGTGAGGCTCAGAAAAATCACATTTGATGGCATTTAGCAGATGCTCTTATTTAGAGTGAATAGAGATGTACTATAATAAGTTACACTGGTTATTATGTGAGACGAGTATCTGGGAGTAAGTTTTCAGCATGATCATTTACTACGAGCATGGACTGCTCATATTATGTTACAATGGTATGATTTTAGGTGGGAAAAGGGAAAGAAAAAAATAATTTTAAGAAAAAAATGGTTCTGCTCACTGACAGGTTCTTTGGGAAACCAAAAATGGTTCTTCTTTGACATCACTGAGAATTTTATTTATAAATATTTACTCATGCATATAGCTTTATACTTATTGCATACTGCATGTAACCATCTTAAATTTAAAAGGAGAAACATCTGAGACAAAATCCTTATATGAAGCATAACTCTCATAAGCAACCTTTGAGCAATAAAATGTTCCTCTAGGATTTACTCTAACTGCTAACCATGACCTCTGAGCTGACGTACAGGTTGGGGTTGCAGTCAGGGTCATTGCACAAATCCAAAAAGAGGGATGGGCGAGAGATTTATCACCATAAATAAGTTGTTAAAGTCCCTGTAAAGTCAATTCTGAGAATTGTTTCTGAATGCATTATAAATGTTACAAATGTATTGCTGAAACACATTACAAAGACTGTGAATAGTGGAGTTAGACCGTTAAACAGTTTTTCACCAATTCTGTGTTCAGGATTTTTTGGGCAGGGCTAAAAAGGGGGTTCGATGACGCACTGGAGCCCCCGAGCCATGGCCCCTTCCCTAACACTATAACTAGAGCACATTCGCATCAGTTCACCCGCTCAATCGTGAGTTGTCAGTACCGTTAGTAACACACAGCCTACACAGTTTGCTAGCTAGCTCTGCCTTTGTCACTGAAATGCGTATTTCCTGGTTGCGATAACATACAGAACAGTTCGGTGTCCTTATTTAAATGTCCTAATAATGATTATATCAAAAAGAGTTGGATTAATTTTGTGAAGAGCCACCTTGATGGAGAGCTGAGGATCACCACCAAAACCCGCCTCTGCAGTGATCATTTTACATCGGATAAATTTATAAACTTTCATCTGAGACAACTGGGATTCACTGATAATCCGCTGTTACTGGTAAATGGGGCCGAACCGACTTTTTCCCACCTCGGCCTTCATCCTCCCTTCCGGACACGCCCCCAGAGTTTGAGAGCAGAGGATACTGCCCAGTTTTTCAAGATTTTGATCACTTATTTTATTTACTTGGCGGATTTTTTCATCATTCATCATTTGGAGTGATTAATAATAAATTTTTCTGTGGTGTGACAAACTCAGAACACATATTTAATATTGCCTTTACAGGGACTTTAATGGTCACTGGCTGGCAAGAGGATGGTCTCAGATCTCAATCACGGCATGAATTACAACCTCTGGACGTCAGGAGGACATTGTGAAGAGAGAATTACACTCAATTTCACATTTCTGCAGTACCGAGAGTAACTGAAACCATGAGATTTTAATTTACCCTAGGAATACCCCATCAAAATCCCCAAAATATCATCAGTATGTGACTTTTATATAAGACAAATCTGGTAGTTGCTTTTCAGGAAGCAGTGTGCATAGCAGCATCCTCCCCCCGTTTTGACCTAATCTACTCTTGAAAAAGCTGAATTTCATTTCTCTTCATACTTATTTTCAGCTTAAACATAATCCTCATGATGACCTCTTTATAGTGGCAGTCACAGGCCCTGTATTTGCTTTCATGGTAAATGCATTTACAGTGATAGCAAAGTTAATGAACCTGATGTTATTGTCATTTTTCTAAATTGGACTTGTTAATCATATTTTTCTAGTAAAAGAGAGGATTGTATGCATAATGCAAGACACATGAAAACAAACCAGGTTTCATAACATACAATTGTGTGACTAGACTAGTGTGCAAGCGGGTCACATGTTTGGGCAAAAACAGTTGTGCTCAAAATAATCTGGCAACGAGAGGGAAGTTTCCTAATAAACTTTCCTTATAAAGAATCTGGGAAAACATGTGGTACTTTCTGCTCCGCAGCACTCGGCCTGTCCTTGTGCAAGTCCTTAGTTCCCCTCATGACCAGATGTGCCATGAGGGAGGGCTGATCTTCTCGAGAGGTTCCCTCAGTTTCATTCCAATTTATAACTACATATTCCAAAGAAAATACCAGTGGTGTCACTCTCATGGGTTGCCAGTTTGAGGACATGCAAGAGAGCAATTGACTATTAAAGGTGACAAGCCTTAGACTTTACGTTGATGAATTGTTTTAATATGCCTCTGGTCATAGAGCTTTTTAGGTGGATGCCGATGCTTTTTAGGTTGGGTAGAATCTGTGATCTCTGACCCAGCTGGCTTCCATGGCTGCAATATGCTGTGTTTTCCGCCAACTGCCAACCCGAGCTGTCAAAATATTCGGTTTCATTTCCCACCACAGAGTTACCTGTTGAAAGGAGCAGATCACAGTCAGGAGAACTCAATTAAAACCTTTGCATTCATTCAAAAAGCCGCTGGTATTCAACTCTTTGCTTATTTCCTTCTCAGTGGTAGGTTTCCCAATATCTTAAAAAAATTCTTTAGCAAGCCTTGAGATTAGGCACAATTATTTAACTAATGCACATGGTTGTCAAAGACAGGATTAGGGATTAGGGGTCGCGACTAGATTCATATGGGCTCCCGGCGGAGCAACAATTACCTAAAAAGACACACACTATCTTTGACCACCAGAAAAGCCCATACATTCTTTTGTCATCTTATCAGGTATAATCAAACAATGTTGTAATTTAATTAAAGTAAACACAGTTTCATAATCAATTCAATAAAGATATTCAATAAGGTAAAAAAATAAGGAGTTACTTGATTTTATCCATCAAGTTGACTGTGAAAAATGCCACTATCTGACATGTGGTTGAAAAATAACAGGGCTTGCTTGGTGACTATGAATAAATGACATTTTGATCACTGTGCAATATACTGAAACTTGTGCTCAAAATACAACCTATGAAAACAAGTCTAAATATGCTTCTAAAGCAAATGTATCATATTTTAGAGATATACATATATTTTTATTGGAAACAAATCAAAAACACTTCTCCAAAATTTATTAAGAAGTCATTTTTGAGGTAACAATAGTTTACAAAGACATGTGTTCCCCTTTGGAATAATATAAACACATGAATCATTCACAATAGATCCAAGAATATGACTAAAAACACAGATACTCCCAATGAAGTAATGGTGAGCTAAAAAGATCATCTCTGGCCAAACTAATACAGTTAAGCAGGTCTCTTCCTCAATGACTAACAGTCCCTTAGACGTCAATACAGCTTCAAGTACAATTCATTATCATTATGTTCTTTTTCATTAATTCAGAACTTGACATTTAGCCACTGGGAAATAATTCAAAGAACAAAGATTTCGTAGTTGTGGACTAAAAGCTCAAAAATGTGTTGCGGCTTCCACTACACAGGAAACTGTCAATAGCGCTTTTTTTTTTTTTTTAAGTATATAGGCTCAGCGAAAAGTGTGTTTTAAAACACAGTGGATCTGTGATCCTGCAGTAAAAGTCTAAGCAAACTTACATGATAGCCTATCTTTCTTGAAGACCTTTGTTTCCAAAGATGGCTGATTTGCATTGATTCTCCTGTGCCATTACCTGACTGCTCTGGTGATGAAAAGTTTATTTACTTCTGTATTGCCAGGACATTTTTGTTCTAAAAACATCTGTGTTTTTTCACTTTAAAACCAATGACTAATAAAGAAATAAATTGAGTATCATAGGAGACATAACATGTGACAGTAGAGACTAAGATCTTTGGCACAGAGATGCTTCCCAGAAAATAAAAAGGTTCCCAAAAATGGCCAGATGTGCTTGGTCTGGATTTTATTAGTGAGCGTGAATCACTAATGTAGTATTTATGTGACAAATCTGACGGAGATGAATCTGATAGCGCTCCTTTGTGGTAACATTATAGTCTCTGCATTCATGCAAGATTAACATGCCTTTCAAACACAGATGTCAAATCGATATTGAGGCATAAACACCAAACACAATACAACAAATAAGGGGAAACATATTCGAGCTTTCGCACACTCAAGCACATGAAATTGGATATTTAGAAACCTTAGGTTGTAATTCTTCTCTACTCTATTATATTTCAAAACATAATTTATTCCTGTGATGGCAAAGCTGGATTTTTAGTGGCCATTACTCCAGTCTTCAGTGTCACATGATCCTTCAGAAATTAGATTTGGAAAATTAATTAGAAAAACTAAAGGTACAAATATCAAAGCTTCATTGCACGGAGTAAAAATGAATCCTATGTTTATTTTAACACAAAATATGATGACTAATACAGGAAGACATGATCAATATGACTAAATAGAAACCAGATGTGTAATTAAAATTCTCTACTGTACTGTACGTTGCACCATTAACACAGCCAATGCTAAGTAATAAAGCTCTCATTTGAGTAGCATAATCATATTTCCAGATTAGCGTATCTGCTAAATTGTATAATGGTGTTTTAATGTGACTCATGTATAGAGCAGCAAGTGATTAAATTCGGGATAAAAACCAAACTGTGGTGTGGAAGGTCTGAATTTGATAAGTGAGAACAGTTAATGCACAGTGTCCTTCAATCATTTGCAAACATATGTCATGGATACCTGACGGTAACCTAATTAGGAGCAGGATTTTCACATATGCTGTCACATACGCCGAGTTGGTCAGACAGACAAGACTATTTGTTTTGTAAGAATAAAAACATTTGACACCAGCTGGAATGCTGGTTTTGCAGATTTTGTGGGTTAAATAGCCAGATCTGGGTCAGATCTTTACAGCCGAGGCTTTATCAAAGATCTCCAGCCATAGTATTTAATGCGCTTCCCAGACAGGACGCAGTACAGAAGCAAGGAACCAGAGGCCCCAGGCAAAGCGGACACAAAAAGGTCCTTGTGTTTCCCCTTTTCTCTCAGATGGTCAAATCTTGTTACATAATACTCAGTTACCCCTTTTCTCTCAGGCACCCCAATGCAGCCCAGAGGGGAGGAGGTAATTTGGGGTTTGCCGCTTGTTGTTTGGTGGCCAGGCTGGGAGGAATGATGGCCATGGGATCTTAGTTGCATGACTTTGGGGAGACGCCAGGCTCTTTGTTTGTGCAGCTCTGCAGACAGTGAAGGGAGGACAGCGAAGAGCACTGACAGCTTGTCTGTACGTCTGATGGTTTTCTGATGGCAGGCTGCCCGAGCAAAAACTGTGGGAGGTACAACTCAGAAAAACCATGGACCCAACAGCTGCATTTAAAGGGGTCATATGATGCGATTTCAATTTTTCCTTTCTCTTTGGAGTGTTACAAGCTCTTGGTGCATAAAGAAAATCTGTAAAGTTGCAAAGACTAAAGTCTCAAATCCAAAGAGATATTCTTTATAAAAGTTAAGACTTGTCAAAGCCCTCCTAAAACGGCTTGTTCTAACACGCCCCCACATGTCTACGTCACGATGTGGGAAGATTTGCATAACACCACCCAAATGTTCACGCAAAGAAAGAAGGCGTAACTTTTATTCTCGCTGTAGTATTGTTGCCGCCGCCGCCATGTTGTGGAGATGCTGTGCGAAACTACTTTGTGTGGCCTTCCAAAAGAGGATGTTATCAGCTTCGTCATTTCCTTCGCTGAGGAAATACATCAACTTCGCACTGTGGATCGCCGGATCGGCTTTCACCGTGGATAAAGCGGAGTCCAGCCCGGGGTCGTCACATGTGGTTGCCGCAAGCCCGCTGGCCGCTCCTTCGTCGAATCCGCCGGCCGTTCCTCACTCTAGCCCGCTGGCCTCCGCACATTATAATCCATAATTATGTCCCCACTGGATGCAACGAATGCCTCATTTATAATGGGTTTTCATGTTTTTGAATCATCGCTCCGGCCGGACAGGGCATCACAATATGGTGAGGGGCGTAACATTTCCGTCACACACTTGAGGTATTCAGCCAATCACAACGCACTGGATAGCTGGCCAATCAGCGTACACCTCGCTTTTTCAGACCGATGAGCTTTGTAAAAATCGACGCGTTTCAGAAAGGCGGGGCATAGAGGAGAAACAATAATGTACATTATGTGGGAAATAATGTGTTTTTTTAACCTTAAACCGCATAAACACATTGCATTACACCAAATACACAACATAATGTTCTTTTTAGCAACGTCATATGACCCCTTTAAACATTATTATGTCATCTTCTGTCATAATAATATCTTATAATAGGTGGAGTATAACATTGCGATTTCTGTAAAGTCAACTTATTTCCAATTTACATCCAATTTTTCTTACATACTTTACTTACAAATGTACTTTTTTGTAATAAAATGAAGTTAATAATAAAATTTGAAAAGTTTATTAAAAACGTTTGGGGGTGGTAGGATTTAATGGTCTTGAAAGAAGCTTCTTATGCTCACCAAAACTGCATTTATTTGATCAAAAATACAGTCAAAATAATAATATTGTGAAATATTTTTAGATTTTAAAATGTAATTTATTCTTGTGGCAAATTACTTCAGTTTTCAGTGTCACATGATCCATCAGAAATCATTATAATATTCTGATATTGTGCTGAAGAAACATTTCTTCTTATTATTACCAATTTCGAAAACAGTTGTGTTGCTTAATATTTCTGTGAAAATGAAAATATAAATTTTTTCAGAATTCTTTGATGAATAGAAAGGTCAAATGAACATAATTTATTTTACTTTATTACTGTCATTTGTGATGAATTTAATGCATCCTTTTTGAATAAAAGTATTCATTTCTTTAAAAAATATGATATTACTCACCCTAAACTTTTAAACGGATGTGTGTGTGTGTGTGTATTATATATATAGAAGCTGATGCCACCAAAGATTAATCACCAAATGAAGCGCCTTAATCATTGCATTGCTCCAGAACTTTGCGATACAAAAATAAAACATGTGCAAAATATAAATAAAGACTGATAGGGAGTAAATTCACGCAAAGGAGTGGTATACATAGAGAGAGAAAAATCTAACTCATCAGTGTTGTCAACACAAAAACCCATCTAGCCAATAAGCTTTTATGAAACACCTTAGTTTTTCTTTGCAAAAACACAGGATTCCATCCCTCCATGAAATATTTTACCTTGACTAATTATGCAGGTATTAACAGTCAGATCTTTTGACCTTGAGACATAATCAGACAGCTGCTACTGGACGTCTCTCCACCTCCCGTTGCATAAATCTTTTCATTTTTGTACTCAACAGGTGGTTGGGATGGCGGAGGGATGTGTTGCCATGGGAACCAGCTTACCCTCACTGTGCAGAGTGAATGCAACGATGGAGCTGGAATAAGCTGTGCGAAAAACCTTCATCAAATTCATATGTCCACATCATGCATTTAAATAAAAAACACCTAGAAAATTTAAACTTGTACTAAGCCTTTGACAATAAATAAATAAATAAAAATAAATACGAGGCAGCTGCTTAATTGTCTAGCATCCACACAACCACTGGTTTTTATTTGATATCCTCTCTTTCATTTTTCTACTTTGATAGGCTAATTAAATAAGCTAATGGTGTCTTTCCATTACATGTATGAATTCACACGGCAGACACATTAGGGGTGGGGTGATCAGTTTCTGATGAAACACAAAATGGCAGCAGCCCACATTAACACAGCACATCTTTATAATTCACTCCCTTTCTTCTGGTTGCTTTAAATCCATTAATTAAAAGACAACAATCCGATGAAGACCCAGTAAACCTGCCTTCAAAATATTTGAAAAACAAATGAATCTGATCACCAATAATGCCATTTTTCCTCACCTTGTTCTTACTCTGAAAACAGACTGCAGTGACTTTCTTTGGCAGCAAATGATTGTGAATGAATGCAAATCGGATTAAGCTCACCTAAAACCATCTAAAACCTGCAAGCTGTTGTTTTTGACTACATTGCAATAGATCTAGCTGAAAATACACAGCTCTTTGCCTACAAATCCATTCAATTCATAATGCACAAATGCATCCACACAACAACCATATTTCATGACAAAAATGCACTATTTGTCACAACAAGACTTAATACTAAACTGCAACCTGCAATTTAAGCAGCTGTGTAAATGACATCATATCCCTGGGACAAAGAGCAGCGAGGTTTAATTGCTGGTACTCAGGATTACATTGAAATTGTAACTAAAACTGCACATCTTGCAGATTTGGGAATAATAGCCTAGATTCAGAATGGTGGATTCCATTTGTGAGGATTGATGCAAACATCATTACATCATTCGAGCGAGGGTTTCAGTGTTAGAGGATAAAGCATCTCGATATCCTTCTCTAAATCTCAAGGGAATTGAGATCAGAATCCAGTGTTCAATGCACAGTAACAGGTGGCACATATATAGATATTAATTATGCATGGGTCGATGTATCAGAAATAATCACAAGATTAGATTAAAATCAAAACAGCTTTCCATTTACTGACATCAGAGCAGTCATTATGCATAATAAAAGAATATAATATATACTGAAAGCCCAAGCGAATGGTTTAATCGGCAAGATGTGACGGGCAACACCTTTTTTTACCCTACCAGCAGCTGAATCTTTCTGCACAGAAAATGGCAAGTGTGTGGCAATAAAAGGCGATTCAGCAAATACGGATCAGAGCATTAAAAGTGAATACATTATCAAATCAGTTACTGGGACAAATACAATTTTCCTGCAGGTTACACCGCGCCGGTAATGACCTAATGGATTGGAAAAGGCTGTCTATGGCAGCCAGTGGCACACTTCATCTACTCAAATTACCATTTTACAAAAATTGCTTTATAAATTAAAAAAATCCCTTCTCGTTTACATTGGAGGGGGAAGTGAGCCGACCTAAAATCAAAAGCAGGTACATGCAGGAAGCCAACAAAGGGCATGGCCACCGGTGACATCATTTTTACCTGACTGAGACCAAGACCACACTGGCCGCCATCACAGCAGCTTTAACAAAGGTGTACAGCTGATGTAGTGCAGCTTTGGGCATCATCAAGTAAAATGTGTAATAACAAATCCTAATTGTCATCAATTTTCATATTCCTATTAGCAGATTCCAAGACACCATATTTTCCCTGTCCTGTTGCTGGGCGAAACTGAGTGTCCAGCCAGATGGACAATGGACTCTCTAACCACTAGTGAAGAACTAAACAATAGATTTATATGATTTCATGTTTTTTTAATATTTATTTTTACATAAAAACAGCGCGCGTCACAATGAGACTCTCTCTAACGTTCTGTGATCTATCGGAATTTTAAACGCACCACTGGTCAAGGAAACAGTCGCTCCCATTGGGTTGGTCCTCCACTCTTCTCTGGCATTCTCAGGAGGAGGAGAACGACACAATCTGTCGAATAACCCAAGTGGCTGACCATTACAACAAAGACATTCTTGTTCCGCGCGTAAAATCAAACTACACGCATAAACAGTGTGATTTGCTGCGTGAGACTGTCCGATAATCAATTATTTAGCGCTTTAATCCTGCCTTTGTGCGCCTCCATCACTGCAAATAATGACAACAGCTGCTCTGTAGAGTAATCACAGCGCAGTAACTCTACACTACTACTACTACGACTACTACGGCATAAAACAGCCAGGGGGAATGAGGAATTTGCGCATTATTTAAGGTCATAAATATCAAAAATGGTTGCAAATTGATTGCAGATGTTTTCTGTGGTGTCCCTTCCTTTTAATGTGGGTTAATTAATGATGTGCATTTTGGACGAAGCCCCAAATTTCCCAGTTCGACATTTAACCTACATTTCCACGGCGCTGGTCCAGGCACATCAGCAGCAGCAGCAGCCGCCGCCGGCGCGCAGTCATGATTTACGCACAGCAAAACCCAGCAGTGGCTGCACTACTGACCGACATTCTCATTTTGTGATGCTGTTCTGTCATGCCACCTCGTGTTTGAAGGCTACTGAGTGTTAAATATCAGCTGATTTAATATGCATGTGAAAAAACATCTTACCATGTGCAAACAGCGGCGTCAAGAAGACCAGCAGAAGGACAGAGAGTATTGGCACGCTCCAGCATCTCAAACACGAGCTCATCTCCTTTCGGTTCATGCTTGCATGTAACAAAGATATCTAGCAGAAGAAAAATTCTATAACCCTTGTTCAAAAAGTGTTCAAGTCGAGAAGTAAATCCTGGATGTGGTTTGTTCAGTCTGTTATAGCGTATCTCCTCTGCGCGGCGTCTCCATGTCCACTTCTTTTGTGAGGTGTCTTCACTGGTCGTATTTGTTTACTTCTATTTTATTCAATGCGATGGAATTTGGTCATTTATGGTCCCATTGCCACAGACAAAATGCAAAGAAGTGCATCAGTTCTTGCTGAGAAGCGTGAGGACGGATGGACGGCGCTGTGCGGACACGACCGAATCAATCGGGTTGTGAAACCAAACCGACCGCGCGTCCACTTGGAGAGATGCGATTCTACGCGTTCTCACAGTATGAGAGGGAAAATGATTTCGGCTCCCACTGTCTCCCCACCCCCTCTGCTCCCCAACCCCTCCCGAAGTTCTTACTCCTTTCAATAATGTTCAACTATTGACAGACACAAAAACAGCCCTCCATTGTACAAGCGCGATTTTGCTATGCTCATCAGACGGGTTTTATCTTGGATAGTTGGAACCGATGTGGATTTTGCTGCTTGTCTTTCATATTCAAGGCTTATTCATAGCTTAGTCTTTTATATTCAAATAGTAGCATATAGGTTGAGAAAAAATACATATTTGATGGTATATTTTGTAAATTACATATAATAATAGTAATTATTATAATGTAATTTAGTAAATGTACAATGATAAAATGCACATTAACATACAAAATATACAGTAGTAGATAATATAAATAATATATATATATTTATGAAAATATAAAAGGTTTATAAAAATATATACTATATATTTTTATACTTTACAAATTATGTGGATTAGCATATATGTTGAATATGAAAGAAGAAAATAAAATGATATATTTTGCAATATATTGTAATGTCACATTATAATAATAATAACAATAGTAGTAGTATTTTTTGTTTTATACAAATGTTTGGATATGAAAGACTAAGCCACAGACAGACAGACAGACAGACGGAGACAGACAGACAGACAGAGACAGATCAGACAGACAGACAGACAGAAAGATAGATAGATAGATAGATAGACAGATAGACAGATAGACAGATAGATAGATAGATAGATAGATAGTCAAAAGTACATGCAGATTTGAATAATGAATTTAAATCAATTAAAAGTAGATAAAAGGCCAGATGAGATGCACGTGTTATGTAGGGCTGTGATATGGTCCAGATTGTTTACGGGTTGATGGTTTAAGGCAAGGAGAATGGGACAATAAAGCAGAGGAGGGGCGGGAGGCATGAGATACACTCCTCCGGCTGTGGTGATGAATGCATGAGGGCTGGAGGTGTCGTGGGGGTCGGCAGCATTCTTCCACACAGCACCATTGAGAAAGACAAGAGACCAGCAACAGGCGGTTCAACACTACCTTGGGTTTGAGGTTTGTGTGTGTGTGTGTGTGTGTTAATAGTGCTCACTTTGTCCAAGGTCGAAATTTCTTTCTTCTGGTTGGAGAAATAACTAATACTATCAGCAAAAAAGAAGAACATAAAATTCATTGTATCATCAAGAAGTGATAAATCGCCTGACTGTCCTTCAGTAACATAATAGAACAAATGAACCATAATGCCATCATTTTACACTGAAAGTTTCATCCAAACCTATTCAGCTATCACAAGTTTGATGAAGCTGAGGTAAAAAGAAAAAATCTGCAAAAAAACCCCATTCAAACTAAAAATACAATGTGTGCATGAAAAAAAGCTCTTTTGTATGTTTCTTGCCATCGTACTGAAAAATGTGCTTTAACATGGATATGAAAGCAATGCATTTCAGTATGCAACAATGCCTGACTGCAATTTTTTGGTCAGTTACATCACTCTTTTCAAGAAATTCTTTAAAATCAACAGAAAGTTTCACCGGGTGGCTTTTTTTTCCCCTCTTTGCACTTCCTGAACCTACAGGGGTCAGATACTCTATTACTGCAAAAATATTTCAAACAGTATATGATTCTCCTTTAGTCACTGTACAAAAAGTTATATACGGCACTATTGTAGTGAGTTTTTGCAATAGATACATATAAACTGCAACAGAATACATTACAAATATATATAAATGCAAATATACAAAACACTGTGCATTATAAAATAAATGATTCTTAACAATCTTAACTGATAAGTCAATTAAAAAGTCTCAAAGTTTAGCTATTTTTCCACCACAGACTCATTAACCCTGTCCTTACGCCTCCTTCTCCCCCCCTACTGGTTCCCACACTGCTCTCTGAGTGCAAGATTTGGGTTTAGTGCCAACAGGCTCAGCTTCAAAGGGACTGTGGAAGTGAAGAGCTGGTCTACTGCGGCCTCCAACCAGCGTTCGTACAATAATACAAATATACAAGCGTATACTTATAGGTGCTGGGAGAGAAACAGTTTGACAGCACCAGTCAAAGGTTTAGATGCACTTGACTGAATTTATGCTTTAGATCTTAAAATCCTTTTGATCTCAAAGGTTTATGCTTAAAGGGACAGTTTACTGAAAAATTTAAATTCTTCGTCATTTCATCATTTACTTACTCTCATGTCATTCCAGACCCATATGGCTTTCTTCTGTGGAACAAAAAAGGAGAAATAGTAGATATTGATATATATATCACTTTCAAGCTTTAATAAACTATACAAGTACTTTTATCGCTGTTGTAAATAGCACTACACTTCTGAAGTAAAATATATAAATAAAAACATTTTAGATTATATAAACACAAATACATACATATATGCACACATGCACACAGATGTATGGTAATAGCATGTTCAGATTTTAAATGTAATACATTTTATATTTATTGAAGGCAAATTCATAGATACTAAACAAGGTAAGATTACATATAGTGAAAAGGTGGTTTATCGTAAGCATGAATAAAAATAGTCTATAATACAACAGATTAAATACAACACAGCAATAATATACACACTGGCCTGAAGAAAATGGGTGTTCATTCAAAGAAGGTTTTCCTATGAATTAATTAGTAGAAAAGTCCATTTCTCCTGTGCATTTGTGTCCCTTTGTTTCTGGAGAAAGCAGAATGAGAGCCGGCTCGCATTCCACAAGGTTGTAAATGTATCGGGTTACCATGAAACCAGGGTCTTGTTCAGCGTCCTGGGGTGTTACAAAGTATTTGTGAAATCTAGCTAACAAAATATATATTGTGTGTTGGAGTGTTCCAGACGCTACACTGTGAATATTATAATATTGTTTTCCATTTCGATATATTTTCAAATGTAATTTATTCCTGTGATGGCAAACCATAACCCTTCAAAAATTAATATTTTAATATGAATGAATATTCCATTTATATTTGTGTGGAAACATGGATATATTTTTCAGGCTTTATTGATAACTATAAAGTTCAAAAGAAAAGCATTTAGTTAAAATCGAAATATTCTGTAAATTTATAAATGTCTTTCCGTTCTCTTTTGATCAGTTTAATAAATTTGTAAAAGAATTAGTTTCTTTCCAGGAAAAAAAGAATAAAACGGCATCTGAACATATACAGTTTATCAGGTTATGAATGAATGCTGAAGAGGTTTCTTTTACTGGACTCCTGAGAAATTACTATTATTAATAACGTTAGGTTTAAAAATAGAGTCACAGTGGGACTGCCTATTACAAATGAATAACAGTGATTATACATCCGTGTGAAAGGTTTAGGGCAGTGCACTGATGAAGCTGAACACATGTGAGATGTTCCTGTTAAACCTATACTATGTTCAATTTTAATGTATAGGTGTAAATGTTTAATTTATGATTACATCCTGAATGCTGCAAACAGCCTATTTGTAATTGATGATCCATTATTGATTGGGCAAAGTGTAAAAGCAGTAAAGAACAAGGCCCCTTGATGAGCACTGCTGGCAATACACCTTCAATTCCTTTTCTTCTTTCAAAGCTAAAACACCCCACTGGGAAAACACACAACCACACAACAAGACACAAATATATCAGGTGGTTCACTTTGTCCTTGGACAGGCCTTGTTGAAAGCTCTAACCACTACACAAACAAACAGATGTCCTCAAAAAATACTGTGTCCTGCACCTGTCCACATTATTAACACTATAAATTGGATTGCTTTATGAGTCGAGCTCAAAAAACAAGCCCAAAGACATACGTTTAATAAGCATCACTTATAATAAGTGAACATGGCCTTCGGGAGTGCACTCAGTTGCAAACAGTGTTGCCAAGTCCTCCGTTTACCCACGTAATAGGGCTACTTTTATACTGCTGCCGCAGGTTGTGTTTTTAGTCTGTGGGTTAAAACTAAACCTCCTGTCCCCCTGAAATGTGATTTCAACTGAGGTGGAACCACTGGAAGGAGGTTTTGGACCCCCTAGAACATGCTTTGGAGAGATTCTGATACCTATTTTCAGCCAGAAAGCAATTGGGCTAGTTTTGAATACCAATTGACCCTTTGCAAAGACCTGTCCCTATTCATTACTGTTGCTATGTCCGGCAAGCCATGCCGCTCTCACACCACACATCATGTTCTCACACAGTGAAAAATACATCGTGGAGCAAAGAGGACACTGAGCACGTTTACATGGACAACAATACTACGATTTTAATACGATTAAGACAATACTCTGATTAAGAATCTACCATGTAAACAGAGATTTTTGATTACCTTAATCCGGCTAAAGTCATAATCGAAGCAAACAGAAATCGAATTAAGACATGTGGAGTTTTCCTATTTTAGTCGCATTACAGAAGTGCAGAATAGACATGTAAACACCTTAATCACATTATTACCGTCGTGTAGGACTTTTCGCCGCATTTTGCAACAGGATACACACACGGCAGTGCTCAACCGTTTGACGGCAAATAAAACAGCTTCAACACCGCTATCGTCTGTATGCACGTACAAATAATTAACTGCACTTGAAGCTTTCATAAAATTAAAAATGAAACACCCAAAACTGTACATGGCATCATCACGAAAACGAACTATATGTTTATGCGTGAAATTCCGGAGGGGACGTCGGACAGCATCACGTGGTGACGTAATGAAATGTGCCATTAATCAAACTATGTTCGATTAATGTAGCTCTTTAATGTGTCGTGATAGACCACTGTAGCGCCTCAGTTCAAGCGGCACGTGAACAGATCATCTCTTCCTCTTTACTAGATTATGGCGTGAAATAAACATGAATGAACATCAAAAGTTATCTTGTTTCAACCATGGAAAGACGTTAATACACACCATTTTTCAAGTTCAAGTCCACCAACGTTAATCTACTCTCCCGTCTGGTTTGTTTGTCGAACCAAAATGCCAGATTCTGCTTTATGATTGGTCAGATCGCCTGTCAATCAAACTCCCTGCAAAGGGTCAGTTGG